CCTCTACCCCCCACTCCGGGCTCGTGGCCCCAGCTAGGAGCCGGGCCCCCAGTGGGCACGCAGAAGGTCACTGTGTCCGTGGGGGTACGTGGGCCCAGGAGCCGTTTCTTTGCTGGATCGCGCCTCTCTGCACATTTTGGACCTCGCCTCCCCCACGACGCGGCTCAACTCGCCTCCAGAGAAGGAGGGTCCGACTTGCAGCCCCTGTGCCCCCAACAGTGGCTGAGCGCCTATTAGGCCCCAGGGCCTTCCAGGCACTGGAGGACTGTGGGACATAGAGGAGGGGTGGGCGCCAGGCCCAGCTGCTGGCGGACGGCTGCCCCTGGCAGGCCCGGTCTGGCATCACGGGGCACAGCTGTGTTCCTGAGCTCCGGGTCGCCAGGCCTGGGGTGGGTCCCAGTCAGGTACAGGGACGGGTGGTTCTGCCCCAGACACCATGGCCTCATCGTCACCGACGGCCTGCTCATGGACTGGGAGTCCGGGGCACCCAGCCAGGGGAGGTCTTCGCGGTCCGCCTCCAGACTCTAGTCCCTGTCCCGGGTCCTCCTGCCCAGCATGTCTTTCCAGCGACTCCCGGCCTCGCAAACACCTGCATCTTGTCTCCTGACCGCTTCACGGGAAGGTGTGCCGGACATCGTGTCCATGGCCGCCAAACCGACTCACACCTGACACGGGGCCTACATGCATGAGTGAATGAATGGCCGCCACCAGGGACAGGCATTTGTCCCTGGGACTTTAATGAGACCCCAGGCCTGGTGCGTCCCAGTCCCGGCTGGCGCCCCCTTTGCTGAATGCCACCCTCAAAGGCTGCATCCTGCGAGAGGGTCCTGAGACCAGGCTGGATGGGCACAGACTTGACCAAAGCCAGGCGGCCTCCTGCTTCCACTGGCTGCCTCTCGCTGGTCATCAAGGCCAGTAACAGCCCACTGGTTGAGGGGGGTGAGTTATCCACACTTGCTTGTGCGGGTGAGTTATCCGCGCTTGTTGAGGCAGATGAGTTAGCCACCCCGGTTGAGGCAGGTGAATTATCCGCGCTTGTTGAGGAGGGTGAGTTATGTGCGCTGGTTCGGGCAGGTGAATTATCCGTGCTGGCTGCGGTGCGTAAGTTACCCACACTTGTGGAAGAGGGTGGGTTATCCACGCTGGTTGTGGCAGGTGAATTATCTGCGCTGGTTGAAGAGGGTGAGTTATCCGTGCTGGGTGAGGAGGGTGAGCTATCCTCATTGGCCGAAGCAGGGAGATATCTCTGTTTCCTTACCTTATTGAGAGCCTCTGAGGAGGGGTCCCCCGGGCTTTCCTGCCTTTGCTCTGCTTCCCGTCTAGCCCCAGGGCTGTCTGTTCCTCGGCCAGAAGCTTCCTTCGAGTCAACACCGAGGCTGGGCTCCTCCTCGGTGGCACAGTCCTCGCCTCCCCCGTCTACCCTCCGTCTGGTGGCCGCGTCCCTTGCACAGACTCGCCCTGCTGGGCTGGGTGAACTCTGTCAACCCCAGGGCTCTGAAGCTCCGTGTGCGGTGCGAAGTTCGTTAACGAGATGTGGAGTCATGGAAAGAAGTTTCCAGAGACGTGCACGAAGGCCGCTCCCTGCTTCTCATACTCCTTCTTTGAAGTGTATTTCTCGGAGGAATTCATGTCACCATTAGAACCACAGGAGAGCTTGGGAGGGACAGACTGGGTCCAAAAGAGGGTGAGAGGTCTGAGGGGAGACCCGGCCTGTGTTCGCCACAGAGATCGGAGTCCCGGGGGAACATCAGGCCAAGAAAGTGGGAGCCAGCCTGGAATCCTTGTGACAGGTGGAGTGGACGTGGCATTTTTTGTGGGATGGCGCCATGTGGGTGGAAACAGCCCGTGTCAAGGGAAGCCCCCCGTCCACGGGAGGGAGGGAAGGAGGGAGGTGCCCCAGCCAGGCCACCGAGAGGCGCGCTGATGCCCCCTTGGGGCCCATGGTGCTGACGTGGCGGTGACAGGGTGTGCTGGGCCACCGCGGAGGCCAGCCCAGCCACGGCCTCACAGGCTGCCTTTGCCAAGGCCAGCCTCCAGAGGGAAGGCGTGCCAGGCGTCTCCCCTCCCGCCGGCCAGCCTCCTGGAGGGCCCAGTTCTCTGCGGAGGGAAGGGCGGTCGCGGGTGATCCCTCCTGGGTGACCTGGCCGCTTCTCCAATGGCACATGGTGCCAGCATCGGCGCCGTGTCCTTGGTGGCCGTCCCTTCAGCAGGTGTCCCTGCCATGTGACACCCGCAACTGGAAGATGCCTAGGAGCTCCTCTTGGGGCTTGACTGCTTGCTTTCCTTTTTTTTTCTTTTTTGAGTTGGGGTCTTGCTCTGCTGCCCAGGCTGGAGTGCAGGGGCATGATCATGGCTCACAGCAGCCTTGACCTCCTGGGCTCAGGTGATCGTCCTGCCTCAGCCTCCTGAGTAGCTAGGACCACAGGTGTGTGCCACCACACCTGGCTCATTTTTGGTTTGTTTGTAGAGACGCGGTCTCCATGTCACCCAGGCTGGTGTCCACCTCCTGGGCTCCGGCAGTCCTCCTGCCTCAGCCTCCCAGAGTGCTGGGATGGCAGGCGTGTGAGCCTCAGTGCCTGACCTTGACTGCTTTTAAACAGCTGTCCTGGGGGGAAGGTTCTCAGCTCCCCAGCCTCCCTAGGCCGGGCGGCACCCACACAACACACGCCCAGCCCAGCGTCCTCGCCTGCAGCCTCTGTCCTGGAGGACAAGCGTCCCCAGAGAGTCCCTATGTGGCCACCTCGACCACGTCATGGCGACTCACGTGTAACACAAGCTAGTATGTGACGATCACTTACTTTCCGGCCAGAGGGTCATGGTGCCCACACTCAGCAGCCACCGTGTCTCGGCCCCAACGAGGCCAGGCCCTGCCCTCCCAGGGCCTCCGCAGAGGGCACATCCAACGATCCCCTTGAGGCTCTGGGGTGCAGCCGGGCCGCTTGGGGGGGAGGCAGACTCACCTGCTCCCTGGCCGCCTGGCCGTAGTTGAGCCTCAGGAGCTCTGCAAACCTCTGCTCGTAGAGATGGAGCAGCATGACCAGGTACAGGCCCGAGTTCATGAGCTCGCTCTGTGCCTGTGTGGGAAAGAGGTTCTGAAGTTTGTCTAGGAGATGCTGGGGATCTGACCTGAGGGGCGGGGAGCCAGGCCAAGAGGCGGTGAGAAACAGGACAGGAACCCACGCTCCCAGGCGAGGCCTGCGTGGGGACCAGAGGACCCGGGAGGAAGCCCAGGGCGGAGGCCAAGGCAGCCACCCTCTTGGGGTTCCGCTTGCTTTTCTGCAGGGGGCAAGGCCTCGCTGTCACCCGGGCTGGAGTGCCGTGCAGGATCACAGCTCACTCCAGCCTCCAACTCCTGGGCTCAAGCGATCCTCCACCTCAGCCTCCTGAGTGGCTGGCTGCAGGTACATGCCACCACGTGGCATGTAATTTTTTTTTGTTTGTGGAGACGCGTTTTTACTATGTCGCACAGGCTAGACTCAAACTCCTGAGCTCAAGTGAGCCTCCTGCCTTGGCCTCCCAAAGTGCTGGGATTATAGGTGTGAGCCACCAGGCCTGGCCTTTTTTGGTTTTTTGTTCTTTGAGTTGGGGTCTCACTCTGTCATCCAGACTGGAGTGCTACAGCCTTGACCTGCTGGGCTCTGGTGATCCTTCCACTTCACCCTTCCAAGTAGCCGGAACTACAGGCGCGTGCTACCATGTCCGGCTCATTTTTGATTTATTGTAGAGATGAGTTGCCGGGGCAGGTCTCAAACCTGCGGGCTCAGGCAATCCACTCACCTCAGTTTTTTTTTTTTTTAAGAGAGAGACAAGGTCTCACTCTCTAGTTGAGGCTGCAGTGCAGTGGCATGATCATAGCTCACTGCACCTCCAACTCCTGGGCTCAAACAATCCTCATACCTCAGCCTCCTGAATAGCTGGGACTATAGGTGCACACTACCACGCCTGGCTATTTTTCTATTGTTTGCAGAGATGGGGTCTCTCTTTCCTGCCCAGCTGGCCACAAACTACTGGCCTGCCTCCAGTGACCCTCCTGCCTCGGCACTGGGATCACAGGTGTGAGCCACAGTGCCAGGCCTTAGTTTGGGATTTTTTTTAAGTGGGAGTCTCACTCTCCCCAGGCTGGCGTGCAGGGGCACTGCTCATGGCCACCGCAGCCTCGGCCTGCTGGGCTCAGGCGATCCTCCTACCTGAGCCTCTCAAATAGCTGGAGCCAAAAGTGCGCACTGAAAGGCACCTATAGAAACCTAGAAGAAATTTGGCCTATTCTTAGTTTAGTCTTTTGGCCTCAGCATAACCGTTAGAAAGCGTTCAGACATTCTCCTGCAGGACCAGCAGCCTATGCCATTCCATCGCCCCTCAGCAAGACCAGGATAGCCCACCCTTTCAATTCATGGTTTAGCATAATAATCTCTGGTAAACTTTTAGGTTCCTTGCCAAGGCCGAAGATCAAAGATCACCCTCTGGCTGGTCAAAATCATAAAAGTAAAACTACGACCACCTTTGGTCAAGGAGTTTGTGAGTGGCAAATGTCTGAGTCTGTGAGTTGCAAATGTCTAACAAGTCTCTTGCAGGAAACCTCCCTCCCAGGGTTAGCCTAATCAGCCCTCTGTGACCTACGTGCCACGGATAAGCCCCACCACGGCAGCAGTCACGTGACTGACCCGCCATCTGCTTGCTGTCCGTCACCTGACATCAGTGGTGACGAGGAGCAGACTGCCACCCAACACCCTGATGATCTTCCCCCCTCAAGGGGAATGGTTTGAAGGACTCCACCACAAGCAGCCAGCGGCCACTGACTTGCTGGACTCTGGTGTGGCCAAGTGCTCTCTGAGCTCTGGCTGTCGCCAGGCTTCCTGGCCTTGGCCCGCTCCCGACCTGCGGAGGTGAATCTTCTCTCTCCCGTCTCTTTCTCTCTCTACTTTACTTTCAAGTAAACTTTTCTCTCTTCGCCTCTTTGTGTGTCGCAATTCTTTGCATTGACTCGGATTTCTGGGTTGCCGGTGCCGCGCCTCCCCTCACCCCTCCAGCACGCCACCCTCAGCCTCTCCGGACCCGAACACACACCTGGCTCATTTTTTGATTTATTGTAGAGATGAGGTCTTGCCAAGTCGCCCAGGCTGGTCTCGAACCCTGGCCTCCCAAAGTGCTGGGAGGCCAGGTGTAAGCCACCGTGCCCGGCTAGCTTTGGATTTTAGGGGAGTTTTGGCACGGGCAGGGGAGACGATGGGGCGTGACTTGAGCGTGGAGACGTCAAGCAGCGGTCCCGGAGTCCAGGCGCCGAGGAGCAGGGGGTGAGCAGGGTGAGTCTGTCCCGGGCACGGCTCTTTCTGGGAGGGCAGGACTCGGCCGCGGGTACCTTCCTGCCGCCGCCTCTGCCCCTCCGCCGGCCCTCCCATCACACTGGGCTTCTCCACAGCCAGCCTCCGCCGTCATTCGGCCCCAGTGGCAGCCTGCGGGGCGTGCGGGCTCTGGGCAGCGCTGGGAGCCGCGGGGCCTTTGCGAGAGCTCGGCGCCTTCCTGTCCACCTCCCAGCCGCGCTGCTGGTGGCCTCTCTGCCCTCACGGATGTTGCCCCGGAGTCTTCGCGGGGGGGGCGCGTCCGTCCGTCATGCCTCCTCGGGACTCCCAGGCATCTCCGTTCTGCTTCGTGCGTCTGCTGTTCCGAGAGGAGGGCTGGAGGGGCGGGCAGGGGCCACGCGTGTTGCCCTCAGGGCACGCCGGCTGCGGTGGCAGGGGCAGCGGGGGCGGTGGGACAGCCCTGGGCTCTGCCCTCAGCCCAGGCCTGGGGGGCCGGAGTCCCCGGCCGAGGCCGGTCGCAGCCGCAACTCCGCCCAGGATGACCCTGCGAGATGGGCTGCTGGGTGCCTGGCCGTCCCTGGTGCTGCCCGCGGCCACCCAGGTGTCCCAGGGCCCCGTCCGTCCCGTGGGACCCGGGCAGCACAGGGCCCGGCACAGGACGCTCTCTGGGCCGGGCGGCAGCCGGCAGGGTGCGCAGGTGAGAGGACGGGGGTGCATCCTTCTGGCCCCACACCTGGGTCGACGGCCCCGGGCACCGCGCAGCCCTCTGTCCCTCGCCGCCAGCCTCCGGTCTCCGGCCATCCTCGGGGCTTTCCGAGCTCTGCTGGCCTCGGTCTGGAGCGGCCGGGGGTTTGGGGCCAGCCTTCCCTGCTTCTGCTTGAACAGCTTCGTCCAGCTTCCTGGGAGCTGCGGCCTCCTCTGAGGCCGTCTCGCTGGCGGATCCTCCACGGGGGCCTCTCGGGTCCTTCACCCCCTCGGAGCCTCAGCCCTGCCTGCTCTCCTGGGCCCAGCTTCCTCCTGCGTGCGTGACAGTCCTCCCGCCAGCCTCTCCCACCGGCGAGACACTTGAACACGCCCTGGTGTATCCATCAGCTTGAGTGTGGCCTGGGCTGACAGGTGAGTCAAAGCATCCAGGAAAGCACTTGCGCACTATGGATGGGACACGGGCCGGAGCCACGCAGGTGGGGGAGCCGCCGTTTCCTGCAGATGATCTGAGAAGCTGCTCCCGCAGCCACGTCTGTCCTGGGTCGGTGGGCAGCCGCCACCTCCCTGCCGGGCTCCTCCACACGCATCCCTCCCAGCTGGTGGTGCTGGACGAGGGCTCGGCTGCCGGTCAGAGCTGCAGCCACGGGGTGGCTCGGTGGCACGCGCGGGGAGCTTGCAGAGAGGGCACGCGGGTTCCGAGGTGCCGCTGACGGGCGACGGCCCCGCCCCCTCGACTGGGGCCCCTCGCCCCGACCCCACGCGGAGCGCCCCAAGGGGGGGAGCGGG